TGAGGCAGGAGAATGGCGTAAACCCGGGAGGCGGAGCTTGCAGTGAGCTGAGATCCGGCCACTGCACTCCCGCCTGGGCGACAGAGTGAGACTCCGTCTCAAAAAATAAAAAAATAAAAAAAAAAAGAAAGATGAGAATAGGCCTGCCAATATTCTTCACATTTGAAAGTTTCCTACCAGCATAAATTCCCTGATGTTCAACAATGTTTGAGCCATACACAAAGCACTTCCCACATTCCTCAAACTCTTAGGGTATAACACCCATATGCTTTCTCAGATGCACTTTAAGGGCTGAACTGTATCTAAAGGTCTTCCCACATATTTTACATTTAAAGGGTTTCTCACCAGTGTGTACCCGCTGATGTTCGGTAAGGAATGAATTAAGTCTAAAGGCCTTCCCACATTCCTTACATTCAAAAGGTTTCTCACCAGTGTGAACACTCTGATGTCCAATAAGTTGTCCATAAACGGTAAAGGCTTTCCCACATTTGTTACATTCATAGGGTTTCTCCCCAGTATGAATTCTTTGATGCTGAACAAGGTATGAGCCAGAACTGAAGGCCTTGCCACACTCCTTACACTCATAGGGCTTCTTACCAGTATGGATTCTGCCATGTTGTACAAGGTACGAGGCTCGACTAAAAGTCTTTCCACATTCCTTACATTCGTAGGGCTTTACATCAGTATGAATTTTCCAATGCTGTGTGAGATGTACGTGCACTCTGAAGGCCTTGCCACATTCCTTACACTCATAGGGTTTCTCTCCAGTATGAACCCTTTGATGTACAGTAAGCTGATGGCGACTAATAAAGGCTTTGCCACATTCCTTACATTCATGGGGTTTCTCCCCAGTATGAATCCTCTGATGCTGAACAAGGTATGAGCCAGTACTAAAGGCCTTGCCACACTCCTTACATTCATAGGGCTTCTCGCCAGTGTGAAGTCTTCCATGTTGAACAAGATACGAGGCACGACTGAAGGTCTTCCCACATTCCTTGCATCTGTAGGGCTTTATCCCTGCGTGAATTCGCTGATGTGCATGAAGGAAGGAACTAAGTCTAAAGGCCTTTCCACATTCCTTACATTCAAAAGGCTTCTCACCAGTATGAATACTCTGATGTCGAGTAAGCTGTCCATACACAGTGAAAGCCTTCCCACACTCCTTACATTCATAGGGTTTCTCGCCAGTATGAATTCTCTGATGCTTAGCAAGGGGTGAGCTAGTACTAAAGGCCTTCCCACATTCTTTGCATTCATAGGGTTTTTCACCAGTATGAATTCGCTGATGTTGAATCAGGTATGAAAAGGTACTGAAGGCCTTCCCACACTCCTCACACACAAAGGGTTTTTCACCAGTGTGAATACTCTGATGCCGGGTAAGCTTTCCATATGCTAGAAAAGCTTTCCCACATTCCCTGCACTCATATGGTTTCTTCCCAGTATGAATACTCTCATGTACTGTAAGTTGATAGTTACCGCTAAAAGTCTTTTCACATCGCTTACATTTGAGTGACTTCTCACCAGTGTGAATTCTCCTATGCTTAACAAAGGCTGAACCTCTGATAAAGGCCTTCCCACATTTCTCACATTTGTAGGGTTTCTCATCAACATGCAATCTCTGATGTATGGTGAGTTGATGTCCATTACTAAAGTTCCTCCCACATTCTTTACATCTGTTGGGTTTTTCACTACTATGTATTCTTTCATGTTGAACAGGCTTTGAGTCTTGACAAAGAGTCTTTCCATATTCCTGACATTCATGTGGTTTCTGCCTACTAATTTTCTGATGTGGGGCAAAAGATGGACAGTTTTCAGAGGGGAGCATTTCTTTACGGCCAATTGTATCATCTTCCAACTGCAAATCTGAAAGAAAAATTTTTTAAATATCTTATTCTATATGAAAAAAAATTCTAGAGAAGAGAAAAACTGAAAATAACACTAACTAGAAATAAATGGCTCAGTAATATTAAAATACCATTATGAAATTCAAAAAACAGAAGGAATACAGAGATTAACAAGTGTTTATGTAAAATAGTAAGGTTGGTGATTAGTGACACAGTTTTTATTTAGGTGTGCATAAAAATCTTTGAAGAGCCTGTTAAAAAATGGATGTTCAGGCCGGGCGCGGTGGCTCAAGCCTGTAATCCCAGCACTTTGGGAGGCCGAGACGGGCGGATCACGAGGTCAGGAAGATCGATACCATCTCTGTGCTAACAGTGAAATACCCCCGTCTCTGTAGCTAACAAATAGTACAAAAAAACTAGCCGGGCAGGGCGGTGGGGGCGCCTGTAGTACCCAGTACTCGGGAGGCTGAGGCAGTAGAGAATGGTTGTAACCGGGGGGGCGGAGCTTGCAGTGAAGCTGAAGTACGGCTCATGCTGCACTCTTCAGCCTGGTGGACAAGAAGCGAGAACTCTGTCTCCAAAAAAAAAAAAAAAAAAAAAAATAAAAAAATGGATGTCAAGCAGCATCCAGGCCCTCTGAATCAGATACAGGGGAAGTTCCTGGGCATCAATATTGTCAACCTTTCTAACAAATGTTTCTGATGCAGATGAAATTTTTATAATCCATATTTTATTGTTCCTTCTGGGGGTTTCTTGTGGCACTGACATTAAAATCCAAGTATCTTTCCACAAATAATATGGTCCCTGTTCACCTCTCACGCCTCACATCAAGACACAGCTCCCTCTGTCCCATACTGACCTAATTTCCCCCTTTTAGCACCTTGACATTCTTACAAATTTTCTCACCTTTTGGTTCCATGTGCAGGTGGCATCATTGCCTAAAAATCTTCTGGCATGTTTTGTTTGTAGACTGGAGCTTTCTTATCCTATCCGTGTTTAAAATAAAATGTCACTTTATCAGGAATATGGTAAACTGCTAACTTTGTCTAAGGATGTCCATGTCTTTATTTTCCAGCACTTCATTCCTTGGTTTCCTACTGGTTTTCTTTTTCTTTTTTTCTTTTTTGAGACAGGATCTCACTCTTGCCCAGGCTGGAGTGCAGTGGCACAACCACAGCTCAATGCAGCCTCAAACTCCCAGGCTCAGGTGATTCCCTCCTACCTCAGCCTCCTGGGTAGCTGGGACTACAGGTATGTGCCGCCATGCCCAGCTAATGTTTTTGTAATTTTTATAGAGATGGGGTCTCGTCACATTGCCCAGGCTGGTCTCCAACCCCTAGGCTCAAGTCATCCTCCCACCTCACCTCCCAAAGTCCTGGGATTACAGGCATGAGCCACTGAGTCCAGCCTCCTATACAAAAGAAATAATAGTAATAAAATATCTCCATGCAAAGAATGATATTTTATAATTCCAATGACAATTATCATTTGTTGTTAAAACCATGACAAGACATATTGCTAAACTGAAGAAATGCATACTCCTTGAGAATAAAGTAAGATCACACAGATTATTGTTTAGTCACAAGGAGAAACATGTAACTCAATAATGTGGGCTTGGACCATTATCACTGTAATCTAGTAGACAGTCTTTTAATGAGGAGCACAGCCAGACGTTAGATGTCTCCTGATAAGATACACATTGCCTCCTTTGATATATTCAGACAAAACTGTTTACCACCTTTTAAAATATTACCATATTATTTGATAAGCCCATAGGACAAGATCACTGGGGTGGCCACTAAAGCACTGGGTTTGTACACAAAAACCAACTGCAAAATTGGATTAGATGTTATCTCACTGAACTCAATACTTGCCTTTAGGACGGTTCCCGTTATCTCCTAGGATCACTGTGGCCCATTCATCCCCCTTGTCAGAAAAAGAAACCTTTAGATAACTTAATTCAAAGAGGAGAAAAACTGGACCTTAGTTTGTGTCAAAAAACTTCAGTCAGGCTGCGTGCAGTGGCTCACACCTGTAATCCCAGCACTTTGGGAAACCGGCGGGCAGATCATGAGGTCAGGAGTTCAAGACCAGCCTGGCCAACATGGCGAAACCCTGTCTATACTAAAAATACAAAAATTAGCTGGGCATGGTGGCAGGCACTTGTAATCCCAGCTATTCGGGAGGCTGAGGCAGAAGAATCGCTTGAACCCAGGAGGTGGAGGCTGCAGTAAGCCAAGATCGTGCCATTGCACTCCAGCCTGGGCAACAGAGTGAGACTCCATCTCAAAAACAAAACAAAACAAAACAAAACTTCAGTCACCACTGAAAGAGAACTTTGGACTGTTTTTTTCTACCTCCGAGCCTTTTAATGTCAGGCTACACAAAAGGACCCTCAAAATGGGGAGAACCATATTTGCCCTGTAATCCAGATAACAGATCTGGACAATGTCACAAAGACACAAATTCATGTCCATGAAACTCAATAGGCAACTGGTTCAAAATACATTGTTTAGAAAAAGTACCTTGCCTTCCAAGCAAGAAACATTATTCTTATGAGAAGAATGTTGTACTCGCATCTTTAAAGACCTCTGAAATCTTTAAAAACTCTAAAATGATTTAGGAAAGAAATAAGAAATCACGAAATTAGATAATTGGGATAATTCTTCTATATCTGGTTCTGTAGGCTCTTTGGATTAGGGATGGGATCTGTCCATGTGGTTGCATTTGGGTATAAGTCTTTGATCCTGGCTTAGAAGTGAACTATAAATTCTGACCGTAACCATTCTCTTAGGATTTGTCTATACTCTAGGGTTCAAATGCCTAGAGTCATAAATGCTATTGTGCAACCATTTTCTCATCAAATGATCCAAATGATACTCAATTTTGTTTTTTTGAGACGGAGTCTTGCTCTGTCGCCCAGGCTGGAGTGCAGTGGCACGATCTCAGCTCATTGCAAGCTCCACCTCCCGGCTTCATGCCATTCTCCTGCCTCAGCCTCCCGAGTAGCTGGGACTACAGGCTTCTGCCACCACGCCTGGCTAGTTTTTTGTATTTTTAGTAGAGACGGGGTTTCCCCATGTTGGCCAGGATGGTCTCGATCTCGTGACCTCATGATCCGTCCGCCTTGGCCTCTCAAAGTGCTGAGATTACAGGCGTGAGCCACCGCGCTTGGCCTGTTTGTTTTTTTTTTTAAGACAGAGTCTCGCTCTGTCACCCAGGCTGGAGTGCGGTGTGGCTATGTCAGCTTAGTGCAACCTCCACCTCCCTGGTTCAAGTGATTCTCCTGCCTCAGCCTCTCGAGTAGCTGGGATTACAGGCATGTACCACCATGCCCAGCTTAGTTTTGTATTTTTAGTAGAGACATTTCACCATGTTGGCCAGGCTGGCGTCAAACTCCTGACCTCAGGTGATCTGCCTGTCTCGGCCTCCCAAAGAGCTGGGATTACAGGTGTGCGCCATCATGTTCAACTCCAAATGATACTCTAAATAAAAGAATAGAAAAAAAACTTTTGGAGGTTGAAACGACATAGTTGTGTACATTTGGATAATCATGGTCCCAAGAAGATAATAGCCTATTTTACAGACAAGGCTGAAGCATGACCAAAAAGGAGACGGGGGACATTGAGAACAGAAATCAATGAAATTCCCTGTCTCTGTGCTAAAGAAAACTGAGACCAGCATACCTCCCTGAACCTGTCTTAACCTTCAATATTCTCTCAGGGCCCACGGGATCAATTTTTAGTTTTTGAGTTTCTTTTTCAAGCAGTTGTATTTCTAAGAATTAGCATTTCATGACTTTTAGTCTTTCTTAAAGGCCTTCAAAAGAACAAAGAGAAAATTTACTTATTTTCAAAATACACTAAATTTCATTCAATTTTACAATTAGAGCTCTACTACACCTTTTTATAAAACTACAATCTACTATGAGACAGTAATCTTATTTATTCCAGTAAGAATCATGTGTAAGAATAAGTTTCCTGGGAACATTTTTCTGTCTCATCATCCTAAGAGTTATTTTATCATTATTTGTCAATTATGCCCAAGCATGTGAAAACAGAAAGACTAAATAAGAAAGTGGATGAATGATGGCACTGCCTAGAAAGACGATGCAGTAGTGAAATCAATCAACGCTGCACCATCCTTCCATATCCTTACTGTGTTGCTCAAAAACCTGCAGTGCCTTTGAAAGCTTGAAAAAAGTCGGGACACATCACCTGCATGTCTTTTTTTAAAAAAATTAGCTTTTAGACTAGTCACGGTGGCTTATGCCAGTAATCCCAGCCCTTTGGGAAGCCAAGCAGGGTGGATCAGTTGAGGTCAGGAGTTTGAGACCAGCCTGGCCAACATGGTGAAACCCTGTCTCTACTAAAAATACAAAAGTTAGGCTGGACACGGTGGTTCACGCCTGTAATCCTAGCACTTTGGGAGGCCAAGGAGGGTGGATCACCAGGTCAGGAGTTCGAGACCAGCCTGGCCAACATGGTGAAACCCCATCTCTACTAAAAATACAAAAATTAGCTTGGTGTGGTGATGGGCGCCTGTAATCCCAGCTACTCAGGAGGCTGAGGCAGGAGAATCGCTTGAACCCGAGAGGCAGAGGTTGTAATGTGCTGAGATTGTGCCACTGTAGTCTAGCCTGAGTGACAGAGCAAGACTCTGTCAAAAAAAAAAAAAAAGCCCGGTGTGGTGGCAGGTGCCTGTAGTCCCAGCTACTGGGGAGGCTGGGGCAGAAGAATTGCTTGAACCTGGGAGGTGAAGGTTGCAGTGAGCTGAGATCACACCACTGCACTCCAGCCCGGGCGAAAGCCCCAAGCTCCGTCTAAAAAAAAAAAAAAAAAGAAAAGAAAATTTAACTTTTATTGAACACTGTTGAGAATTCAAAAACTTCATTATCTACCCATAGGAACAAAGATTAGCAAGCTGACAAAGGAAGACATGTCATAAATATCAGACAAATCAGAAGATAAATATGAAAATAAAGGAAGCAGCATTCTAGACCTTCACTGCCTCGTCTGG